TTGCTTCTATTATGTAACTGTACTGCGTTCTTTTTTAGCCAACAAATTTACCTTTTAAAAAGATTAACTTAGAGGCAGAGCTATAGTACAAGCAGGGAGGGCATTTGCCTTGCACACAGCTGACCCAGGTTTGATCCCTGGCATCCCATACGGTCCCTGAGCCCACTAGGATTGATCACTATGTGCAGAGTCGAGAGTAAGCCCTGACCACTGTCAGGTATGGTCCAAAAACAAAAATAACAAAAAAAAACTAACTTGAATCTGAAATATGTAAAGTGCCCCAAACAGTTCAGATTTTCAGAACTATTCCTTAAAATATCACCACAAAAGCCAACCTAGCCAGTGCGTTTCAGTCATCACTGATCTGGCTTTAAGATGGGGAAGATTCCTAATTCTACTATGACACGGAAAGTTTTCAAGAGGTACTTTCGTTCCCAGCCATTTACCTGAACTAAAAGAAAATAATATTTATCATCTGTATTATTAACATATGTATGATAAAAACACTAAATAGGAAGAGCTGATCACATGGTATTATATGACCCTAGATTACTGACCAAGCAACAGAACTTCTAAATTATGGAGTCTTGCAACCTGGATATACTATTCAATAGTTAGAAAAAACCACTTCTTTCTCCTCCTAGTGATACAACCTTTTCAGTGCTATTCTCCCCACAAAACTTAGAGAACACGCATATAAATATAGACATAAACATCTCCCTAAAGGAAAGGGCCCTCAAAATCCCTTCAAAATCACCTTCTTAAAATCAAAGACAAGAAGATGAAGTGACTTGTTTATTGTACTGTTGAATTTCAGCAAGACACTGTGTGGGACATTACAGCTTATCATTTCATTGCACTCCTTATCATTTCAAAGCATATCAACAATGACACCACATTCCAGTTTGGATACTTTTATCTTTCCTTGAGCAAATGATTTTTGCATCAAGGTCTGGCCACAATCATCCCACTTTCAGTAAGTTGTGGCTCAGAGAAAGTAGGCATTATAAGTTAAATAGGCCAAGCGACAGCTCTGACAGCCTTGAAAAAGAGTTCTGAAATGAAGAGAGAAAAAAATTTGCCTATGAGCAGTGGTTCCAAGACTCTCATGTTACAGAAAAGCTCTTGTTTCATATTACTCCAGGGATCATTAAGCACATGTGAATCTTGTAAAATACAAGCCTACTTACACCGTGTACGAAGTCAAATGCTTTTAAAGATTCTTGCCAATGGTATGTAGTTTCAGTCACTAGTGCACATAAGACTGTCTATAAATTTTTGTTCAAACAGCTAATAATCCTTCCATGAAACCAAAGTTACCTTCAGAAATAGATATGTTTCTTTCTTCCTTTCTTCTTTTTCTCCTTCCAATATTTTCCATTTTTTTTTGTTTGTTTGTTTTTAAGCCACACCCAGTGCTCAGGGATCACTCCTAGCTCTGCACTCAGGGATCACTCCTCGCAATGCTCAGGGGACCATATGGGGTTGGGGATTGATCTTGGGTCAGTTGCCTGCAAGGCAAGTGCCCTATCTGTTGTACTGCCTCTCCAGTCCCTAGGAATTTTTTTTAATACTTTAAGAAGTCACCTGTTTCATAGTAATTTGTGAATTACTCTGATCTACTTGTGAACCTGTGCTCAATTAAAGCTACTTAGAGCGGCCAATCTAGATTCTGGATATAAAATTCTATGAAGGAACTAGAAGATAACAAAGGCTGGAGTTTTCAGAGAAAGTTGTTAAGAAATTCCCCCTTGCAAACTGGTCTCTGAAATACATCAGTGGGAAGCACAGTCAGTAGAAAGAAGACTGTCCTCCAAATTGAAAGCCCCGCTGCTCACTAGCTGCCTGACTTCCAAAGGGACAGCACCTTGTGAACTACAGCTGCCTTCTCTGACCCTTTAAGTGAAAAATATTGGATCTTGCCAGGTGGTCTTGAAGTGCAGATGAGATAAAGTATATGAGAACTGTCAGTTGCTACATGCTCCACAAGAGTTTTGGAGGTGCGGAGGGAAAACATTCTTAAATATAATACTAAAATAGGAACTGCAGGAGGACAAGGGAGGGAACATGAATATTAGTGGAAGACAGAGGGTTAGCTGTCCACTGACTTTGGGACTATCCAGGAGAAAAGAATGACTGGAAGGGCTGTACTTCCTCCACTGGAACAAAGCAGCAGGAGAACTGTAGGATTCCCAATCTGGACTAAAGCACATGGCAGCGAGAGCATGGCCCACTAGGGAACAGGGACCAGCACAGGGTGTCTACAAGGGAGGTGGATGCTGAATGCAGAGGGAAGCTAGCACCTAGACAGGAAGAGCCTGGGAGCCACACCAGGAAGTCTAGACTTTATCCCACTCACTATAACGGGAAGCCACTGAATAGGAATGTCAAAACAAAAGCAAAAAAAGTTGTTAAGAGCCAGACAGAACTCCCCCATCCCCCCCATTTCCCCCTCCCCCATCTTACACATGATGCAGCTTCTACTTTTGCTGTGTGCTCCTGGTTGTGAATCCCTTGAGACTAATATTCTGACTTTAAAATATATAACAAGAATCTACAGAGCATTTATTTAGTTCCTATGAGGGTCAGGAACTGGCAAAGCCCCTTTGCATGTATTATTGTTCATTTTCCAAACACAGGAGCAATACAGGCATAATCATCCACATTTTAAAAAGAGGACACTGAGACTCCAAAATATAAGGTCTCTTGTCCAAGTTTAAAGAAGCTTTACAAGAACTTGGAAGTGTCAGAGTCAGAATTCGAAATTAGATTTATTAGGATTGGAGCTCAGCCCTGTGTTTAATCCCTAGATTCAAGTGCCAGTACCACATAAAAATAAGAAATGAAGAAATGAGATTTCCCTGCCTATGTAATGGACAACCTAGCTTCCTGATATATTTTAGACTATACAAGTTAAAAAACTATTCACATGCAATCAAAACTTAAAAGGAAAACAAAAACAATTATTATTATTATGGTGGGGATTGTGGAATTTGGGCCATGGGATCAGTCCTGGTAGGGCTCAGGGGACAAGACAGGATTTCCCCCAACCCCCACCCCCATACACAATACAGCTTCTACTTTTGTTGTATGCTCCCGGTCAAGAATCCTTTGAGGGGCCGGAGCAATAGTACAGAAGGTAGGGTGTTTGCCTTGCACGCGGTCAACCTGGGTTTGATCCCCGGCATCCCATATGGTCCCCTGAGCACTGCCAGGAGTAATTCCTGAGTGCAAAGTCAGGAATAATCCCTGAGCATTGCTGGGTGTGACCCAAAAAGAAAAAAAAAATAAAAGAACCTTTTGAGACAAATATTCTGACTCTAAAGATAGTAGAAAAAGATAGTACAGAGCATGTATTCGGTTCCTACGCAGGGTTAGGAACTGGATGAAGCTCTTTGCATGCAATATTGTTCAGAATATGTGATGCTGGGGATCAAACTCAGGTATACCGGCCATGTTCAAGGCAGTACCTTACCTACCTTACTATCGCTCTGAACCAAAATATTGATTTTTTTCAATTAAACTTGATTCCAACTACTTATAAATATTATGACACTACAATGCTAATTCCTACCTCAAATACAAGTATATTAAGGTACATGACATACTGTTTCTTATTCTACAAAGTTTACATGTTGTATTTGTATTTCATTGGCTTGCTTTTCTTGTTGTTGTTGTTTTGGTTGGTTTTCATTTAGGCACTGTGATTTGCAAAGCTATTAGTAAGTGTTCAGGCATTCTATATTTCAGTTCCAGACCTACCACCAAGGTTAGCATCATGATATTTGTTTTAAAAAGCCTGATGTATATAAACATTTTACTGCAATAGCTATTTTATTAAAAGATAAATCATAAATAAAATAATTTTAGAATCTTGCTCATAAATTACTCAAAACATCTGACTTGTAATAACATTCTAATAATGTTACATAATGTTGTCATAGTTTCACAATTACTATAATATACAGTTATATAAATATTTTGGAAGACATTATCAGTCCTATTTATTCTACACAAGTTCACAACAACCAGTACCAAGATTTGCTTTATCAGGCCAGAGTGATAGTACAGTAGGTAGGGCACGCACCTTGCATGCGGCCAATCCTGGTTTGATCTGCAACATGCCACAATCTCCTCAGCACTGCCAGGAGTGATTCCTGAGTGCAGAGCCAGTAATCCCTGAGCACTGCTGGGTATTCCCCCCGACAAAAATTAAAATTTGCTTTATCAGCAAAGACAGAAAGTCAAGAGATTAATAAAATTTCAAGTACAAAAAAAAATACTGCCAGACTCCACAAAAAGTACAAAAATAGTACAAACAGAACCCAGTCTGCAATAATGCAGTTGATTCACATGATGGAAAGGTCATTAATTGATAAAGCTACTGTCACTATCACTGTCCTCCCGTTGTTCATCAATTTTCTAGAGCAGGCCCAGTAACATCTCCATTGTGAGACTTGTTGTTACTGTGTTTGGTGTGTCGAATACATCACGGGTAGCTTGCCAGGCTTTGCCATGCAGGCGAGATACTCTCGATAGCTTGCCGGGGCTCTCCAAGAGGGGTGGAGAAATCAAACCTGGGTCGGCCTGGTCGGACGTGTGCAAGGCAAGTGCTCTACCCACTGTGCTATTGCTCCAGCCCATAAAACTACTAGTTTATATAAAACTACTAGTATTCTTTTATTAGGGCAAAATGTACATTTAAAAATAGTTGGCAAAACAAACAAAGAAAATTAAAGGAAATGCAAACCATGGCTAGCTAATTTTTACTACAAATAAAATATACATACTTTGAGTGAGAAACCAATATGCCAAGCTCCTTCCAAGTATTTCATACTTTACTAGAGAAATGAGACAGCAATGCATTTACATTTACTATTCTACAATTGAAAGCAAGCACACACAAACCAGAAGGAAAAAAAGAAGCAATGTGATTTATAAATGAATAGTTGAGGGCAAGGTTGCCACAGGTGCCCAAGTATTGCCTGGTCAGTAATTACCCTGCAGTGAAATCTGGAGATCATCGATGCCCAAGGAAACCTGCTCATCTTCACTGGGAAGTTCAGGACCAGATGCCATCCTTTGACTTAGCGGAGATTATATCATGTCCATCTCAGTTAAAGAAGAAAACTAAAAGAGTAAAAGAAAAATGCATATTACTAATTTTGCAAACCTGCATTTCTAATAATTTCAGAAAACCGCAGAAGCCCTCAAGTCCCCTTCAAACGAAAGTTTTCTAGTGTTCCTGAGGAACCAAGTGACTACGCCTCCTTTTCTGAATCATCAAGATTTTGCCTTGTGACTTAATAGCGCTCTTTGGAATTGCTGTCAGAATGCCAACAGAGCTCAGATTTGAAACTAGTTGTAAAAACTAAGTCAGCTGGAGAGATTCAATTACTTGTCTTAGAGGAAGTAAAGTTGAAAAAAACTGATAACAGAGGCTTTTGTACTTATTATTAACCTTCAACCTGCAAGAATTTTCTTGAAAACTCTTTAATAAGCTTAATAATGTTGTTTATAATAAATTTAATAATTATGTTTCATAAAGGCTAACTTTTACTGGAAACAAAAGAGCTGGAACCATATATAGAAAGAAAATTTTTTTTAAATCCTATCCAAAAGAATGTTTTCATGAGTTTCAATTATTTTTCCAAGTACTTATTTGTCCACCCAGGTTTTTTCAATCTTTTCTTTCTTTGACCCAAAGAATCCTTCCACTATGAGAATTTTTTAGCTCAATGGCTCTTTTAAAATATTATATGCCATTATTAGAATACTAGGACCAAAAATAGAATAAATTTTCCCCCCAAAGTGGGGACTTTTAAGTAAAATTAATCTATTAAAAATTATGGATATATAATTATTTTATAAAACATAAATTATTTTTATTAAAATATAAAATCTGATAGAAGAGAGAACTTTAAAATGATCAAATAGATACGGCAAAATGTTAATGCAATACTCTGTCTTGTGCATATGGGTTCCATTGCCTTTATCACAAAATGTTGGGAGGGACTAGAAAAATAAACTTGAGAACAATAATCATATTAACTACCCATTTTTTTAATGTAAAAGAATAGTGAAAGAATAAAAATCACTAAACAGTTCATGCTGGAGCGATAGCACAGCGGGTAGGGCGTCTGCCTTTTCACGCAGCCAACATGGCCAACCCGAGTTCGATTCCTCCGCCCCTCTCGGAGAGCCTGGCAAGCTACCGAGAGTATTCGATATGCCAGACACAGTAACAACAAAGTCTCCAATGGAGACATTACTGGGCCCGCTCGAGCAAATCGATGATCAACGGGAGGGCCTTTACCTTTACCTTAAGCAGTTCATGCTAGAGCTGGACTTCAAAATTCTTTCACTCCTAGTACAGTGGGGAGGGAATTTCTCTTGCATGGGGCCCATCTGGTGTCAATCCCTGGTATCCCGTTAGGGTCTCCTGAGCTTCTCAGGAATAATTCCTAAATGCAGAACCAACTATAATCCCTGGGCACCACAGGGTATGACACTCACCCCACCCCTGCAAAAAAATAAATAAATAAAAGGCAAACATCTTTCACTCCTCCTTTCTCACTATTTATTATTCCAAACTCATTTTATGGGCGAGATCCAATGGATTACTGTTAGAGATTTTGCTGGTCTAGTAAACCATATTTGTTAATTAATAATTGTTTTATCCCCTAATTTTAAATGAGTTGGGGTCTGCTGGGTTATTGGTGTTACTATACTGAGTTGATAGAATTTTAACCAAACTGTAATACCATTTGTCAAGTGAGCCTGCATAGATGAGAGAGGGTGTGGGGAGAAGGCTGGGGGATTGTGCCACACCCAGAGGTGGTCAGGGTCTATTCCTAGCTCTGTGATCAGGAAAGACTCCTGCTGATGCTCAGGTGACCATATGTGGTATTGGGATTCAAATCAGGGTTGGCCACATGCAAGGATATTTCTTTTTTCTTTTTTTTCTTTTTTTTTTTTAAAGGATAACAATAGGGCCAGGAGATTGTACTGTGGTTCAGGCACATGCCTCGAATGCACCCAACCTGAGGTCAATTTCCAGCTCTTGTGGTCCCTCAAGCATTGTGGGTGCAGCCCTGGAGGTCCCCAGCACCCACCAGATAGCCTGGGTATACCTATCCCTGAGGGATGTGAGCAGCATCTCATCCTCTGGTCCTTGCGCTGAACCAACGGACTGGTTCACTGAGAATCATGGTTACACCAACCCCCACCTCCTGAGCACTGCCTGGGAGCTCCCCCACATAAAAAAGATAGTAACAACAGCAGCAAACACTGATGCTGAGAGTTAACTCAGGTGTGAAAGTACTTGCTATGCATGCAGCCAACCCTGGTTCAATCCCCAGCACTACAAGGTCACCAAGCACAGCAACAGGAGCAATTCACAGCCGCACAAAGTACGAGACAATCAGCCCCCCTCCCCCCGAATATAGCAAACACTATAAACAGACGCTAGTCTAAGCATTTTGCACATACAACCTCGTGTAGTCCTTATACATGATGAGTTAGGTACTTTAATTAGTCTCATATTTGAAAACTCCTCATATACAGGAGTCAGGTCGAGCTCAGATCATAGTGCACATGTCTGGACAGCACATAGCTCTGAGCTCAATTGCCACGCACCCCTCCTTCCCAGGAAGCCACCCTCCACCACCACCCAGAACTGCCATTGCTAAGCACCCCACCTCCTCTGAATATGCTTGAATATGCTGGAAGTAAACCCAGGCCTACTCGCAGTGCAATTTGGGGGTAGGCAATGCAAAAAAAAAAAAAAGCATATATGTTTGAATTCACATGGTTTTAGCTTCAGAGTCCATGGTACAAATCAATATACATGCTGTTGATTCTTTATTTCTTTTAGTTATTTTTTGGTTTCGGCTCTTTGGGTCACACCTAGCAATGCTATTTCATTTGCTCATGCAATAGTATTTATATGTTTAACTTTGCTCTCAAGAAATCAGTCCTCATGGTGTTGGAATTATATGCAAAGGGAAGCATTATAAATAACACTATAAAGTACAGAATCCCAATTTTTAAAAAAAATAAAATTTTTCATTTAAATCTTTTAAAATTAAAAAAAATCAATCCTCTAAAAACAACATACAGTACTGAGCAAATGTGATTGTCAAGGGTACTTATTATAAACAGCATTTCACTCTAAGTAGTCCCAATATTATGGAGATAATATACTAAATTTAATACAAATATTTCTGAAAACTCGAACCAGAGAGATTTCTTAACGGGCACGTGCTTTGCATGCAGGAGGTCCAGGTTCTATCTATGGTACCACAAGGACCCCCGATTGACCTGCAGTGACCTCTTCCTGAGCAAACACCCAGGAAAAGCCCCTAAGCACCAGATGCGTCCCTGCTGGATGTGGCACCAAAACTAACAAAAATTTTCTAAAATTTCCTCATTGTCACTCACTACCAATCAAATGTAAATCACTGAATGTAGAAGAAAGAATTTAGCTTTGTTTTCTTTTATATTTAAGAACAAGAACAGAACAGGGAGCAAACAGATAAGCAATGAATCCAGGATTCCTGCAGGAGGAGCTCTAGAAGTGACACAAGGACAATGGTGCAGGATCTCAGGCACATGGTGCCTGGGACAAGGGGACAGTAATTTTGTATCAAATATGAACTACGTGTAACCACATGTAGTTCCCATATAGCCACATATAATCTCAACTATAATAAATAATACATAAAGAAAGTTTAAAATAAAAAGAATAATAAAATGGAATGTTCCTGAGCTAGGCAGGTCTTTGGGATTTACCACATATGGCTGGAGGGAAAAAATTACTTTTAAAAAATACAGACAAGGATCAAGCGATAGTACAATAGGTAAGAAGCTTGCCTTGCACATGGCTAACCTGGGGTAATCTCCCAGCACCACATTTGATTCCCCAAACCCAGCAGGAATAATGCCTGAGCAGAGAGCCAGGGGTAAACCCTGAGTACTGCCAAATGTGACCCAAAAACAAACAAACAAAAAAAAAAGGACACACACAAAAATATCAGCAACTATTTCTCTGTGAGGTTTCTATTTCCAATATTGAGAATTCACTACCAAACAAGTCAATAAATATAATATTTCTTTATTTCTTGAAGAATTTCCTATTATTAAAAAATTACCCATCAGTGGGAGCTGGAGCAATAGCACAGCAGGTAGGGCGTTTGCCTTGCACACGGCCGACCCAGGTTCAATTCCCAGCATCCCATATGGTCCCCTGAGCACCTGAGCACCGCCAGGACTAATTCCTGAGTGCATGAGCCAGGAGTAACCCCTGCGCATTGCCAGGTGTGACCCAAAAAGAAAAAAAAAATGACCTATCAAAGGGTATGTAGCTCAGTAGTAAAGCACTCGCCTTGCACATGGGTGGCCTTGAGTTTGATCCCCAGCATAAAAAAATATAAATAAAACTAGAACCCAACTATGATACTGAAATCAACAGGAAATATTCAATTACTGATCCAAATACTGTTTCAGTACAACACTGGAAGAGGGGGTCACACCTGGCAGAGCTCAGGAGTTACTCCTGGCTCAGTGCTTGGTCTCTCTTAACAAGGCTCAAACAGGGGTTTCCTGCACACAAAGCATGTTATCTAGCCCCGAATTCTTCAACCACTTGATAACTGTGGACCAGGGATAACAGAAGAAATAGTTCATGGTCTAACTGATGACTAAGAAAGAAACAAAACCCAACATAGATTGTATTTATTAAGTCGAATGTTAAAAAACTACAATTTTTAGCCACTGTAACATGATCCATGAAATTCCCAAAGACCATGGAAATGTCCATAGACCCGCTGAAGAACAGGTTGAAGATCAGGCTCTAGTGCTAAGAGCATCTCCCCAGCCCCCAGCCCAATTTCTTATCAAAATATATTACAAAGGTCATAAGTTGCTGACTAAAGGCAATTTATGACATTTCCAACAAATTGCTTCTGGTAAGAAATGGTTGAAATCTCCAGAGAAGAATTAGATTTATTTCACTGTAGAATCGCTGCCAACACATAACTGGCATACCCTGTTTCTAAGTAATAAAGCACAATTTTCTT